TCATTCTATCCTGTCAGCTAGGTACCTCACCCTTCGAGTATGTGGTCTGGACGATGTGAATTCGATTTCTGGGCATAGCATTTGCAAGGATGTTTTTGCAATAAACCCCGCTGACACAATGTTCTCATTCTTTGAAAATCACTGAATATCCTGCCAAAATTCAAATTTTGGCTGTCCCGAATTTCCTGTGAGGCCGCTTACACCACTTCACCCAACTGAAATAAATCATAGAGCTTTACGTACCTTAATCTTCAGGTCTTAGTACCTTAAGACGGCTTGACAGCAAGACGCATTGGTTAAACTATGAGCAAGTCTTAACCGCAGTGTTGCCGAATAAACTCTGTGACTTACACACCTAGGGTGGCTGATTACATGAAAACTACTCTGACTGAGAATCAAATCAAATGTCTGACGTTAAAAAGGAAGGTTCCGGTGTGAAAAGGACCGTGCAATCATGACATGACTATATTTCGACCAGTCTTAGGCAAATACATTTTGCGCTGCCATTACCCTGATGGTTCTCGGTTCAGTACTCGCATGCCCAAGACATGGCCAGGGGCATGCTCTTGGTGTGGTCAAAGGCCCTGGTGGTGTGGTTGTGGGCTATCCTTTCGGAGCAGCAGTTGAGGTACTTCTAAATTAAGCGGATGGAGGATCCCCAGAATACATTGACTGCGTCCACAGGACGGTAGATTCCGCATCGCACTTTATTGTTTAGGCGGAATACACTGACAGTTGTCCATCACACTTTTGTGCTGCAAAGTGTGCGAATGCATTTTTCAACGTAAGCTATCACAGAAACCAAATACTTGAACTTGTGCAAAACGGATTTTAAGGGGCATCCGTGTCAATCGAAAATCTTAACCCTAATTCGACATGTTTTTCCAGTAAAATTCCTATCCAAGTTATGTGACCGTAAGAACACACAATCTGGGGCTACCAATGAAGTTTGTGACAACTAGGCTATGTTGATTAAGACATTAGCACATTCATTTTCAAAAAGAATATTTTTTTAAAACATCACATCAATACAGGGTGATTTTGGCACCATCTGCTATTGCATGACAAACTGGTTTTCGGGAGTTTTAAGTAACACAATTTTTTTTTGCTTTCTATTTCATTCTGTCATGTCACGTGATTGCTAGTGGTACCGAGACTGCGCGTGGAATTGAGAACCCTGAAGTAAGAAATCGACAGGATGTTTTTAATGCCAACTAATTTTTTATCAGTGCAGGAATTTGACAAAGAATGACAAAAAATCGCAGGATTGCGGCTGTGCATGTCTGCAGTACAGTCAGAATCTTGTAAACCGCAATGCCACCTCAACAAAAATTATACTATAACAATAGTAAATGACAGATTTCACTTAAAAACACTTTAGTAGGAATTTCACTGCACCAATTTATCAGTTTAGTTCTCACAGATTACCTGTCAAGGTTCTAAATGAAGTTTGCTCAAGTCCGGACTGTTAGCAGATCCGTCATTAAAGTTGAGAATGCGTCTCGAAGGTTCAAAATCACCAAGTAATATTTGCTTCACCAATGCAAAGCAAAGAATCTTGCGTGGCCTCTCGCAGCACCCACTCCTCGTTCTCCACAAGCCGATAAATTAGGCGCACCCCTTGATGAAGCCCCTCCACAAAGAGAGAATTAATGTCGTCGCATGTGCATTAGCCATGCGGCCCTTCTGATGTTGCTCTGACTAGCACATCTCCTTTTTCAGTCCTAATTAGCGAACCTATTCTCAGTTACTGAACATCATGACAAGATTTACTTTGCTTTTGCTAGCAACAAGTTATTTTTTTATGTCGCCTTACCCTGTGCAAAAGTTAATGCATTAGACTATCGAAAGCTCACTGGTGCAGTAATCGCGTTTCACCAGACTGCCGTGCATGCCTCGATCATAGACTGAATTCTTCGCATTTTATAGCGCAAAAGTATAGACCTGGCGACTCGCACTCCGTCATTTTGGGTAGTTTAACTTTCACCTTGGAACAGCTGCTTTGTACCACCAAAAACGCCTTGCAATATTTTTTTTATTTTTAGCACGAATTTTGTCGGACACTCAGTGTAGGTGAGCAAAGATCTATGTTTGATTTATCACGCAATTTCACGGACCATTTGAATGGGACATTGCTGAGGTCTCTCAGGTGATCGGGGGGTGGTCAAAAGCGCCACTTAAGGCTTTTGGCCTTTTCATTTGCTACGAGGCATATTTCAAAATGAGCTGTGTTAAATAGGTGCGAAACTGGTAACGCAAAAGTGAAGTTATTTCAGGGTTCCGTTTACTGGTAAAATTAAGAAAAACTGAACTTTCACTTGAAGTGCAGTCTTTTGTAGATGGAAGGCATTTTAATCTGACTCCAAGTTCCATTTTGGACGCAAGGCTAATAGAAAATGCCTCAGTAAATTTGATATTTTTCAACTTCCGTGATGAAGTCTCATGGTCATTGTTAACACGATTCGTGTAGGTTATCAAATTATATTTCAAGAGGACTCGGTTTCAGCCAACAGTTTTCTTTTCAACGAACCCCACGTTTTGCTTAAACTAATAATATGACCACAGTATATTTGCGGTGCACACCTTTGGCCCCCCTAAGAAAGTCGTGCCTAGTTAGATCTTCCCTTGTGATATCTAAACAATTGACTATTTTAAAGTAGCAAGCATTATTTGGCTAGAATATATAACCAATCATCAGTGATGCATTACTTCTTTTAAAAATGGTTCAATTCGGTAGCTCTTACAAGTATTAAGCACTGCAAAACTTGAGGATTCTCTAAATAACTATGGCATCATGGCGTGCATGCATGGGGAATTGTGACATTCTCAATGGATATGTGAACTACCACCAACGCTGTAATCAAGGTTCGAGTTATAAAGTTATTGCGTGCAAGGGTTGCCTGCTTATACCAGCTGAGCATTTAGCACTGCCAAAGAGATGACTTTCTTGAATGAATAAATCGTCTCGAATTCACCGGGTGTGTTTCATGCGAGCTTGAAGCAGCTTTTGGCAGGGGCGGTTAGTCGATGAGGCCGAGAACACCCCCAATAAAACCACTAAGATTTACGACTAGACCACACAAAATTACCCCCCTATGTTCGACTCGCGTCTTGACGCATGAACACCTCTCTTTGAGTCATCTTTTGATATTGCTGCATTACAAATTTGCTGCATGCCCCTGATATGCGCTGAATTTGTGTACGCGAACCCAAACAGGAAGAATTTCCACTCTCATTGAGGTGGTCTTTACAACTCTGTCAAGTTGTAAAGCACCTGAAAAGAGTACTTGGACGTTGAGCTTTTAAAGGTGCTGAGATGTTAATCCATGTGGCCACTTAACAAAAAGAGGTTTCAGTTACTGAGAAAGCTGTAATTAAATGTGTGCACCATTAACAGATGCATACGGGGATGCTAAGGGAACAAACAGAGAGGGTGATTTCGACAAGTAGAAGTACTTTTCTCTTTGTTAAATTGTCTCCGGGAGTTGACGCAGGTTTGACGAGCTATTTTTGACTTATCGAATGATAGTAAGTCTAAAATAGCCTGCAGCCGACCTATAAAATGCTGAAACGGTGGTTAAGTGTACGGCGCACGTTCCCCTTGCGTGCAGTAGACGGGGAAGCTGACAATGGCCTCGGAATGGCGTCATGGTAATTCAGTTTCTAATGTCAACAGAGACGCAGGAGCATTATCTCTGTCCAGTGAGATCTTCAGCACTTGATCCTACTTCACAATGCACCATGCAATTCGACCCCTGTCCGATGCTAGTTGTCAGAGAGCACGATCTTGAAAGTTCCCAAAAACTTTCTAAACCGCTGGCTCATTAAATGCGCTTTGTCTACTGTGATCCCCTTGCGATTTGATTGCTTACAGCTTTCACATTTCATCAACCTCCAGAATTCCAAATTGAAAAGAAAAACGTGTCACAGTTACTCAAGCACTTCTGCTCTATGCGCTCGTGCAAATGTTTGATTCTGGACATAACCTGGATTCATGATTAACAGTTTAATATAAGTACTTTAAAATTTGATAAATGAAAGCTCACAAGAACCCAAAAAAGCATTCCTCTAAAATGAATTTTACATATAAAAACCTGTTACAAGGAGGCTTATTCACATTAATGAAATTAAGTTACTTTTTCCTTATTCGACGCTTGACAATTTCAGACCTTTTGTCACAAACAGCGTCAACATTCACCACCTACACTATAACGAAAGTCTACTTCAGAACTGTTAAAGTCAGTGAGATTAATTTGGCTTTCAGGGCCATCAAAATCGCTTCGGCAAATGATTGGTTAATTTCCGTATTCATAGTTGACAGAATGTGCTACCTTCTGTCTCGTTACTAAATTGTATTTAAGTAGCCAAACATTAAAAACCTCAGCTGAACAACGCCCAATCGGGTTAAAATGATTTTCAGCCTTCTCAAACCTACACTATGTGGAAATCTGTTGTCGGTAAACAGCAGAGCTGCGACTCTTTCCAATCCGCTTAAACAGTTATGATAAATTCGCTTGTTGCTATCGGTCATGCCTCGGTTGTATGAAAACAATGCAATGCATTGTTAAGGGATGAAAACGGGACAGATTACGTGGTGGAGTCAACGATCACATGCCTGTTTACCATGTTGTTTAACTCGCTTACTTGGAAACATGTTATTCCGCTTCGCATAAGCTCACCTCGATCGGTTGAATAATTTCCAAACATCATCATGAGGTTGCATTTTATGTGACAACCTTTCATCGAAGTATTATGCTTCAAGGCCTGATAACCCAGGGGTCTGTGTTATTACGGAATAAAGAATCACATTAGTAAAGCCCAATGTATTGCAATCACTGTGGGATAGTCTCAGTTTCAAATCTATTTCGGTTATTGTTAACTTGTTTTGGCGTCGGCGTTCAAAAGTATATGCAAACGCGCATAATGCAAAGGCGTTGTCTGCCATTGTGTTTACAAGGTATTTAAGAAAATAAATAATGTGAGTAGGTTGGTGACGTGGTTTAAAATGACTTTGACTTTAGATTAGCGCTTTCAAAAGACAAGGACTGGGGCTGGCGTTGACGACGACGACCACTGAAGAATTGGCTGATGCAGGTCTTCAGGCGCGTTCCCACCGAGGAGGTGGTTTGGGTGTCGGTTTTCGGCGCAGGGGGTGCACAACTGTCGTGTCTGTCCGAAGATAGTCGCTGGGGTGGAGAGTTGTATGGATACCGGTATTCAGGGTTGGGGTTGAATGCACTTGTCGTAGCGGTGTTTTTTGGACCAATGGGCGAAGCGTAATGGTTCTGAGAGGGTCGATAACTGCGTGAACGGTTTTTTCTGTGGTAGCAAAAAAGTACGACAAATTTAACATAAGCCAACTTCTGAATTTATCAAACCAAAAATGGTTTACGGAATGTAGCACGGAGCAGAATGTGGCGATTATGAATTAACATGGTCCAATAAATAGCGTTTGTTCAAGAAGAGGTGGAAGGAATAAACAACATATAAAAAAACAGGTTTAATGAGTTATATAGACGAATGACACCCAAGATGGTAAGTTGGGGTTGAAAAAAAAGAAATGCACGAAGACAAAGCGATTTACGTGCGTCTACGAATGCATGTTGCAGAATTATCATAACTTTAAAACATTGCAATTCCCTTTCATGGACGGACGTCATCAGTCATTGTACAAATTTACCTGACGTGCAGAAATAGCGGTTTGGACTGAGAGCTTTAACGACGATGTCCTCAGTATCACGGCATGGACCGAAATTCGAATGTAGTGATCTTACCCCATTTTAAGTCATCACCTCTTCGAATCGGACTCACCAATGTTGAGGAAACAGAAGGCATTTTGCACCTGACAATCCGCGTTTATTAAAGTGTGTGCTAATAGACTCAATGTCATCTCTCTTTAGAGTTGTAGATCAGGTTTAATTTCCAAAAAGATCTATCTTAGTTTTAATTTTCCGCTATACTCGTAAGATGTAACGTCAAGGAATAGTAGGTGCTGCCAATAGCGGAAAGCCAATTCTACGGAGCTGGCAACAGATCTTCTACGAATGTGACAGTGAACAGCGCTCATGGAATTTGCACATCAGCAGCCATCAGTGCTGCATCTTGGCTGAGTTTATTCCTATAGATCTTACAAGTGTACCAGTGGAATGAGCACGCACTATCGTGATCGAGTTACTGTTTTTTTACCATTCAAACTCCTCGAGATGCCATTTAACACAGGACTCACGCTTTGATGAAGAACGTGAGGAATATGTGACAGTGAACTCAAAATAAAGTACATATGCCTTTTTCCCATATTAGCAAATTCTAATAAAGTTAGAGGAAGTTAAGTGCTTGGTCCGAGACAGCAGCTCGAGTAAGGGGGGAAAGTGTTGACTGCGCATGTTGAGTAGGGGGCACCGGGGAGGAGGCAGCTCGGGATGCAGTTCGGTAAATAGATCTGCTACTCAAGCACACCTCCAGACGCACAAAATATCTTGATGGTAATGTGAATCCGCTTCTTAAGAAGCACCGATTTTATGCAAGTCAAATCAAGGAACAAGACTTTACCTCTGATTTGCGTCACTTGCTTAAATTGTTTACACTTTTAAAGCTAAGGTACCTGGCTTGTAGACATGTGAAAACACAAAAGCCACACGGACAACTCCAAATAGGCGTCAATGCCTTCTATTAAGAGAACAAATTAATAATTTGAGAGACCATATAGGAAACGTCATTAAAACAATGAAACCAGTCAACCTACATAAGCCTAGATAATGAAAAGTTTTCCAGGCTCACCGACCTATCGCAGCTGCAGCTCCGTGTTGGCCTAACTCACGCCGCAACGCAACTCTCATAGCATGTACGGTGAACGAAAAAACGCAACAGCACAAATTTCAATTTTATCCGGACACAACAGCAAACGTAGTGCAGAACTTACGCAGAACACCTATCCAAATAGGCTTGCTTCTCCTCCTTTTCAAGGATAAGGTCGTCACGTAGAGGCAATTGCTTCATAAGTTGGAGGTTTTTTTCTAAAAGCAAACACATTTGCAAAATATAAGTGGAAAAAGGGGCCTTAAATAAATAGGGCCCTAATCAAAGCTGAAGTGTGTTTTAAAATGCCGGAACATCGACTCGCGATACGTGGTGGCAAAATCGGACGGATCTGTACGAAAAAATCTGGAGTACACTGTTGGAAGATCTCTGCCTTTTCAACTAGCAAGTCTAGCGCTATAGGGGTCACACATGGAATATTAAGTGTGTGAGCAAGCATTTCCAATAGAATTAGCCTCAGCCGCATTGCAGGACATTTGTTATGCATTTTGTTCGAAATGCTCCAGAAGGGAATCTGCGCGAAGACAACTTTTCAAGAATGATACACACATCAAGAAAAAGTGCATCTGTAGAAGGCCTCCATTCTGGTTGACTTTTAGACTGCCTTAGGTTTAATGCCGCCTCGAATCGACTCATCAGAACCTCATTGCCATCCACAAGGTGCTCATGTTAGTCGTCCCCAGTTAAAAACAGAGTGCTCCACAGGTGGGTCACATGGAATTGGCAAAAGTTGGAATTAGCGTTGTTTTGTGAGCATCGATACCTGTTGCACAGCTTTTTAGTGCGATTTTGCATTTGCGCCTCAAAAGTAAAATATGTGAGTGGCATTCATATAATGAACTGAAATTTGCGCAATTCCTCTTCACTACCAAACTTCGCCCCCTATTAATCTAGAGGTTCCTTTAAGAAATTTAAAACTTCATGCCATTAACAGCCCTCACACAGTATCTCCTGCGGCAAGGTAGAAGGACTCCTGTTGTACACAAATTTTGACAATATGCTATTTCATACCGTGATTACCCAGGCGGAACTTCCGTCGAAGGGGTTAGTTAAACATCCACAGAGAACATTGCAAGAAAGCTACTGTTACGTCCCAAATGACATCACGGACCTTAAGTTCCGCCTGTGACAAGTAATGTCTACTGGTAAGGTGCTTTCTTGTCACTTTGCACGCTGCGTTACTGAAATGCCATTACCAAAAATGTCGCATTTATACGGTACCAATTTTCTAAAGTTCCCTGTGGTATGCAATGACTACTTGCAGCCTGCAGTTTGCTTAAATTCACGTGAAAACCTCGCAGTAGTATCCTCCAGAGTCGCAGCATGGTACCACCTCGGATCATCCGGAATACTAACCAGTAGCCAAAGATAGCGTGGTGTAGTAGCGTAACCAACTAAATGCTTATTTTGTAATTAAATACAATATCATGATAATTGCAAAAATCTGAGGGAAAACATTATAGCATGGAAATCCTGGCAAAAATTGTCATGTCCATTCTTTCTCAATTTAAAGGTAAAGCCATGAATGGTAGCTTGCAATGACACCTGAAATGTCCTTTCACCTACCTTCGGGACCCGCAAGTCGTTTAGAATGGATTTTAAGCGTAATAAAGCCGACTCAACAATTAAACAATGGACCACTAATGTAGTACGTGATTCGTGTTCTAGAACAAATAATGACATATATACAATGGACAAGTTCTGTAATTTACGAAAAATTCGTTTAAGAGTTTTGATTGGAAGAAAAACTACAAAAAACACTACATTTCGAAAAGGTTTTAAGAGGCACAACTTATGGGACTCGATGGGCAGTGACAAACTGAAACGCAAACAGTAAACTGGAGTTCAAATCATCCTAGTCGGCGATCTTAAAGCCTCCATGTCTGAAAAGATTATCTGTTTTTCGGCATTGCTAGACACATTTATATTCACCGTACATAGCAGTTGAATAGCGAGTATATATGGCTTAAATTATTTACTGCTGCTATTGCAGAAAAAACGGGGGATCTGGCTGCACAAATTGCCTTTTAACAAGACAAACTGTGCATTGGTTCGAGTGCATAGCAGAGACATTTATATTCACCGTACATAGCAGTTGAATAGCGAGTATATATGGCTTAAATTATTTACTGTTGCTATTGCAGAAAAAACGGGGGATCTGGCTGCACAAATTGCCTTTTAACAAGACAAACTGTGCATTGGTTCGAGTGCATAGTTGATGCACAATATCGAAACATAAATATACTTACTTACTTAAACAAATTTCATTTAGCATCTATTTCATAACTTGTATCAGTTTTCTCGCAAACTGTTTACCGAAATGATTTGTTCTCGATTTCATGGATACATCAGGCATGAACAGTCTCTTCTTCACGGGTATGGGATTAGCAAAAACACACTGCCCCTAAATTTATCACCGCCTACTACCAATAAGGAGGACTGAATATGAAGTAAATAAATAAATGATTAGTGTTGGAAGGTGGTTAGATTGTACTGCCAGGGGTTTTGGCTAACTCTTATGTAGCTAATCATTTGATTAACAAAACAAGTATGAAGAGACTTTGGTTTTTGGTCACCACTACCAGAAGTCAAAATGAAAAATTCATTTTCCGTGATATATATTTACTAAGCCTAGCAAGGCCAACCATCTAACATAACAGTTACCTCATCTGCAATCACGTTAGTTGCCCCAGTGCATTGTAGTTGCATATTATTAAACCAATTACACATATAGCAAATCAAGTAAAAACGAAGAAATATGAGTGAGTTCATCACTAGGCATGAAAAATAGTCTTAAATCTTGAATCAAATCTGCAAGGAAGTCTTTTGAAAGATCAGTTGAATCGAAATTTTTGCTCCGAAAAGGCAACTTTCAAACCCTACGGCAGGGGTTAACTACGGGTCGAAAGAGACTTGCCCCGTAGGTGGTATTTTGTCATGTTGCCTGCTTTGTCGAAGCAGCTGCATCCCCCATTTTAAACAATCGTGTGTTTACACAAACCACAGAAATTACATGTACCTTCAGTCATGTAAATGTTTGGGTTTGTGCACACGATCCAATTCATGGTCATAAAGCGTTCCGCCGCCCAGGAGACTAGAAACACGCCGCTTCATTACATTAACTAAATGTTGGTAAAATGTTATTGTGTCATGTGCGTAAGATGGCTAAAGATTAATTTGGGAGTTAACTTAGGGGAAAGCGAATAAGGGAATAATCCGAGAGGAAGCGATAATGGTGTGACCGAATATATGATTGCCACCATGTTATGTGGTTGGTAATGAACCACAAAAGAGGCCGCTACAGGTTGATTATGAGAGTCTAACACTTCGTTCGAGCTATCGAGGCCACCAAGCGTGTGTGATGACCCGTGGCTGTGGGTTTTTAGATTAATGGGACCAGCCTTGTCAAATAAAGGCACAAGACTGTGAAGGCCTTCCTTGCTTCGTGTCCGCTCATCTTTACTTCATTTCAAAATCCGATTCAGTTTAGAGGAAGTGCTTGGGCCGGCATTTCATTTGCCCATAAGGAATCTAAATGCAACTTCCGCGAATGCGATTTTTATTCACATTACAGATTTCATACTATACCATGTCAAAATGACCAGTATTAGCATATTAAAATCACCTCATTTGATAGAAAGGTTGTTTGCTAAAATAACCAAAACTAAGAAATGTAAGAAGTCCTACATTAGCATGACAAAAGGGCAAAGCAAGTAAATTTCCACGAAAATATTGTTTTATAATTGTAGAGTGAGCGCTGGTTTACTTAAATGGGTGCTTTTTCATAATCTCCGTTTGCCACAGTTTGAAATAGCATTTTGGCGCAACGTGGATGCAACTTGAAACACTTCTGAAGTCGCGTTTTGTTCAAAAAACCTACAAGAATAGCTATAATTGCTCGTCTGGCTAGTAAAATCATTTGATCTAATTACTTCGCCAGATGTCTTCCAACTGCAGACTCTTGCGGGTACAACAAGATGAATAGCGACAACTACTGATGATTCCAGCATTTATTAAAGCCCTCATGTTTCAGAGCAAGCAAAATGTATAAATTCATCTTAAGTGTACAAGAGGTAAAAGACCTGATGCGAAATTCTCCATAACTGGTGGAGTTTAGAGATTTAAAGAGCCTTATGGGTCGAAGTAAATAATGTGTAGTGAATCGTGTTGATTCACGTCCAATAACCCTGTTCTCGTAGCTTTCAGCACACGCCCCCACCTTACACGTGAGACCGCTGGTTCATTACCCCTCTGAATGTACCACCACCTCCCGCTTTGGCCATGTGACCTCACAAACGCCTGTGTTCATTTTTACATGTCCACTCAACTGTAAAAGTACACGACACAACTTGGTTGAGCGGTCTAGTAAATGGTTGTGCCTTCCCCACTCTGGTCTTCTATATTTTCGCGGGAACACAGGGTAACGTATTCGGCCTAGATAATCGCAGTGGCCCCGGCGTGGTTCAAGACAACATGCCGGGGCCCTCAACAAATGTTAGTAAGCAGTGATTCATTTGAATTTTAAAATCGGTCTCACTTAAACCCACATCTTATTAAAGGGGTCATCTTGTGGACTCTACCATAATAGCCGCTACTTGTTTTCAACAAACTGGAGAACCACATATCTGTCCTGCTCTACCAGGCAGAAGTACTAGACTGTTTCCATCGTTCTCCACCGTGGTTAGGTTTAGACCCAAGTTTATTAACCTCAAAGATTTGAGCTTTCTGCAAGTTCTGAACTGAATGGGCGGACTAAAAGGTAGATCAGGCGCTTACGAGAATAACAAAAAGCGGATTTAAAAATTAGGGTCCAGGGTACTGCAACATGACACACATCTGGTCAGCGGTGCGAATGGGCTCGTTGACCCCGCTAAAAGCGAGAGGTCATTGCGTTAATGAATTCTGACACCTTGTGCGATAGAATTTTGGACCTAAAGTACTGACTTTTGACCTGCATGTAGGCTCATCTAGTTTGCTTTCTCCAAAAGTTTTTTTTACTGACTGGTCAAGAAAAACGTGAAATGAAGACACTCAGAAAAAAGAGTTAGCTGCGAGCTGCCAAAAGTTCTAGTCCAAAAACGCAAATTTGTTGAAACTGTGTTAATTCGTTAAACTGTGCCAACAATCCAAACAGTTACCCCTTGCGTTCTGTTAACCCACTACTTTGAAAGAATATGAACCTATTTCACCAGGTTTATATCTTGAGGAAACAAAATACGAGTCTGCAGTGACGACCATTGTTTTATAAACAGCGAAGGCTCAATTTCGGTATTAGTTATTTGCAAAGTCTATAGTGAAAACCGAAAGCTGGCTACTCTCTTTTAAGAAATATCTATTTTATACTTGCTTTTAATTACTTATAGTACTTTTCTTTGTAAATCAAAAATGTAATCTGCAACTAACACCAGAGCAAAATAATTAAACACAGAAACTTGAAATTATGCAATTTTAGGGAAGGGAAAAAGCAGCGGATCAGTTCAATAAAGTTTAATTTGCCTTCATTTATTACTGTGCATCGGCAACACGCAGAAATCCACACAGACAGGGCCGTTTGAGGTAATCTGACTGTATTCCGAACGCCGATATTTATAAATGAAGCACGTCATTTACTCTTGAAAACCATTATATCGTGTAGAAGTTAAAGAGAGGAAATGATTTCTAAAAGTCCATGGTGTTAAGGTAAAAAAACGCAAGCTTGACTCACCACTTATTTGATTGAGCAAGTCGTTGACAATTATTTGGATCTGAGGAAGGGAGAGCTTTTGAAGAGCCTCCATCGACAGCATCCCGTCTTCAGACTCGATAACACCGATCTAAAAAGAATGTAGAGTATGTGGGTAATGCGCAACAAAGTGAGGTTGAGTTGATTCCAGTTGGAGGCTACGAAGGGTGCATAAGTGCTTGTGTTCCATCACCACCTCGGTTAACTTTGAGTAAAAGTAGATGGGGTGAAAACAGCACTTTGCTACCGCACAAGTGACCAACTATACCCAAGATTAAGTGCACAAAGCTTCCCCATGAGATGTTCAAATATATATCTTGCTCAATCAGGGTCAGAGCTTGTTTGGTTGCCTTCCTTTCAGACAGATGGCGGCATGTAACAAACATGAATCGAGAGTGTTTAATTAATGAAGGTGTGAACCTACTTGAACCTACTTGAAGCTTCAGATATAAAAGGAAACCAGGGGGAAATAATCTCATAGAGAATGCAATTGGACAGTGTCACGTGATTCTCATTTCCATCGAATAAACATTTCAAATCGTCTTGTTTGCTATCCATTTAGAACTTGGGCGATTAGGTTTTCCATTTCATCAATGAATTTTTGACCGTGCTTTATTGTTTCCATCAAATGATCAAGTCCACAAATTAAACCGAATGTACTTCTGTTCAACATTTCATTTTCGGGAGCTAGTTAACATCAAGCTAGCTACTTTTGCCGGACATTACATGAAACAGAATCACGCAATCAAATCAATTTAAAATTGGCATAATTCCGAGGTCCCAAACCTCCTGGGAAACCTTGTGCACTCTAATATGATCAGGTCCTGGTTTCAGAGTACTTTTACTATTAGAGTCAACAGCATTAATTAATCATTAATGCAAATAGTACAAATAGGAATCTCCATGTTTGGTTCGCAGTTAAATAGGATGCCTTTTTACCAAAAAAAATAATGTAATTAAAAAATATGCAAGTGGTGGTGACAAGAAGAATTATCCGGCATGATAAGAATCCAACGACAACTATCAGTGATTAAATCACGATGCAGAGGACCGTCAGAAAGTGATCAATGAACAAGTTCGTGTATTGAATGATTCAGCAAATGGCAATCTGCAGAAATTTGAATGTCTAAGTGAGCCCCTCGCTTTGCGACTCTCAAAAATAACTCGAGAGAATATCAAGCTCTAGCAAATTCGATTACCACTCCCTTTTAGCGTGAACGATATGTTCGTTGGTGGGAATGTAGACTGAGTCCGTTAAAATGATCCAGAAAACAGCCTTGCATACCAATTACATTCATCAACAGAATCAAGCGAACCGGGGTTACTTTAAATAAATGCAATTGGCCAAAACTCGCAACAACTTTTCGAAGACTAATGAAAGGTGTCATTGAAGAAATACAATCGGTCAATCACAACTTTTCATAGAATGTGTTGATAAACATGTCAGGAAGAGTTTAGCAAAAACCCGTTGCATTCATGTTTATTTGTTACCAGTTGGTTAGGCCGATAATAATTTCAACCATCAACTTAACAGGGAACAGTTGAAATAGCACAGGCTTGACACGAATGATCGAAGCTAGATTATTTTCAGGATGCAATTGTGTTTTTAAAATGGTTAGTTTTTTATGGACACTTATGCAAGAAAATTACCGCGAATTTTTCAATTTTAAGTGATAAATGACAATAAAGCATCGATTGGAGGTGGTGTCACGGCTTGGTTTGTAGCCCGAATTTGTCGGAAACTGTGCGTGTTAGCTCTCTAGTGAAAATAAATGATTTAGTATAGCTATTAAGTAGGCTTATATCGTGCCATTGTTAGCAAACAGCTCAAAGTGTTCTCACCTCCTTAAGTCTCCTAGAGCTTCACATAGACTGAAGCCAGTTACATCATTTCTTTTACAAGTGTGTGGTTGATACAAGTATCTATTACTTATTTACTGGACATTCTACAGAAGAAGCTAAGTTTGCATACTTCACGTTTGGAGCCTCATTAACAGCATTCATGCAACACAATCCAGAACTTTGTTGATGATCTCATCGAAGGATGACTTGAAGTGCCAAAACGACACTGAAAATTAGAGTTGGTTGTGTATGGTAACTTAATTATCTAAAAACATTTCTTATCTTACCAGTGCGGAGGTCGCCGCTGAGAGAAAACAGACTTTCATCAACGGCTTTTTTCGCTAAACGAAAAAGAAAGGATCCTCATAGATACATCTTGTGAATTTGGATAGCAAGTAACTGACACATTTAAAACAAGTGTTCAATCACGCAAGGTGATAGCTTATGCCCTCAGGAAAGTTTCAGGGCCGCATAAAAACTAACAAATAAGCAAAAATTAGGGGGATAAACAGTTAGTGAATGCCGAAATAAGACTTATATAGTCAGATTTTTGCAATCTAATTTGTGCATGCTAATGCGAAAACGTTGAATATATCTAAACTTGAAAGTTCTTGTCTGTATTAATGTTTTTTCAAAATGTGTTGTTATTCATTTGACTATTGCGAGAGGAGTGATGATCCAGTCAAAAATATATCGTCAAAACCTATTTCCCGTTGTTTAAAAAGTGTGTGAACACTTCGTTATCTACAGGAGACGCCAATACAAAGCCTAAAATTCACGTTCTTTTATTTCCCCACAGCCCTTGACGCTTAAGACAGCTAACAGCCCACGGTTTCACCAGTCTCCTCTTAATTGGTCTTCGGAGGCGGCGATGAATCACACTATGAAAGTAGTCCCAAGACAACCGAGGTGATGTCAGCCAGTGCATGATTCCGAGTGGGCGGGGCAGCCGAACAGTCAACTTCCTTCCCACGTACAAGTAATCAATAAACACGAATATTTCGGCAAGTTTGTTTACCGCACGCCGACGCATCGCGTCATCTCCCAAAGATACTTTTTGTGGTTGAATGTGATAAAGAAAACGCCAAATTGCGTACAACAGCAACCGACGATATGTTCGTCTTCTTGGATTTTTTTGGCTAGAAACCAAAAAATATATATATGCCACATCCCAAGAATGGGATTCAAAATTGCCTCGGCGGCACATGTACTCAAAGAACTGAAATGGCAGCAAGAAATAACACCAAAAATGAGTGGGGGACGGGAGGGAAAAAACCAGCAGGATCAGAGGCCTCGAATGCCATTCACAGGTGATTTCGTCAAGTGAATACTGGATTTTGTAATAGTTTTTTGAATACTCAGACGGGCTACTCCCTCGGCCACGGCGACCCCAACACATGAGGACACTGTTTATCTAACACCCCTGTGTACAGACCCCCTAATACTCACCACTCATCTGGGCATTCAGTCAACTGTATCTTACAGTTCACCCAAGATAAACTGGTAAAACGCGACCGCACGTAGAGCGACGACACACGCACAAGGGGGTTGAGCTATCGAATAAACGGTTGACTCCATCATTCCCTGACAGCACAATTTGGCAGCTCCGGTGTGGTTCAAGACCCATACAGGAACCTCTATATTACATTACCCACCGAAATGTTGTAATGCATATTGGCAATAAAATTGCCTTTTTGACGAAGGTGAGGTGTCACACTACTGCTGCATTTGGCAGGACGGCGATATCACTTTGAAAAGTCTAAACTTAGTTAAATCAACTGCCTCAACAGCATAAACCTTGTTTCAACGATTCTGCTTGACTAAGCGGTTATGGTAGGCTTATCAGGTAACTTTTTATAAAAATAGCAAATAGGGATTGTGTGAAAAGATGAATTTGAATCGGCTATCTGACCGAGGTTTAACCCATAAAGAGGGTTCCTATAAATTCGGAAAACAGCTTAGGTCTTGAAAGCTGCAACCGCAAGCTACACTTCTAGGTGATCAAAAAGGATCTCTTCAATATTATCAGGTTGTCCACAACTTGGAACTAATCCCTGATTTGAACTTTATTTTATCTTCGTCCAAGTTTTACCTATCACGGTGGCTTTATCACCAAGCCATTCACGTCCTTAGCATGGGAGGAATTACATTGGATTATGATGCCACAAGGTAAATAAATGGTAACTTCCGAGGAAAGCTAACATAGCAGCCAGAAAATTTTTTTAACTTATCAGAATTTAAATAAAAGTGATTAGACAGGGTTTTTCCCTGTTATTTTGGACATTATAAGGTAGGCAACAATGGTCACGCAACCACTTAGTGTATGCATGGTCAGCTGTATCGGCATCAGCAGCAACAGCAATGCGTTGGACTGTTTCTCGCATTCATGACTTTGAAGCCTATTAAAATTCCGTTGCAGTAGAAATAAGCAACAACTTAAACGTTAATCTATATTCTTTTCACAAAAGCCGCGATTTATAAAGTAAACGCTCATTGAAAAATAAATCATGATATAGCGTGCTAAATAACAACCAATCTGGTGAGCTAGAGTTCTTCGTTGGACTTTTAGCAGCTCTTGCGCAAATTTTAGTGAAATTTAACCTTCAAGTAAAACAGAAGTGTAAACTGCTAAAACCATTTAATGTTTTACTGTCTAATGCTTAGCTAAGTTAAAAGCAAATGCAGGTGTATTCGGATGTTTGCCTTGGAGTTGGATTAAACAGGCTCCAGGGGACAAACAGCTTCAAACGAAAATGAGAAGAATATACGCGAAGTGAATGGTTCTCCCAGTCACACTTGACCGAAACTAAGCTCAAACGCCATGCGCACAATGTGTTCCCCATTGGAAGGATCACCTTTTAAGAATGCATAAAAAATATTAAAAAAAAACACGCCTATGTGCACTTGATCCGTTTCATTTTTACCCATGTGGGCTTGACATTATTTGCGTCTGGGTGGAAATATCAAGTCTAATTCGAATAAATCCGAAAAACTGTTATAAACCGCAGTTATATGCGTGGCTCCGATTTGCAATACTCCAAAAAATGCACATTTACTGGGCACCAGCACCAAGGGAACGTGCACCATGTCGTCAATTAGTAAAAGTATTTACTGCTGTCGAGTGTATCTCTGAAAGGCAGGGGACGCAGATATGAAAAACATCAAAGAAAGTGCGCAGGTTGGAACGGGATGGTTCTGTGTTTGAACTTCGGTTTACTGATTCGGAAAGGTGGTCAAGAAGCCAGTTTGGCACATTTTATAAACGTGACAAGAGGGTAAAATTAGAACGAGAGTCATAGTGGACTTTTAGCTGAAAGGCCTTTAGGTCAACCATTTGACTAATCGTAGGTTATGGTGGTACTTGTGTTATTTTGGACCACGGAGCAGTAAACAAGCGTTCAAGTCATTTTCAAATTCCATGACGTTCTGCACTTAAAGGAGAACTCAAAAATCATTCAGACAAAATTAAAGTCTTTTGAAACCAGCGGATGTGTGGAGCCTCTAAATCCTACACAGGAAATGAATGCATGAGCTGTTCTAAATATTTTACTGCCGTTTCTCTAGCTAAAAGTAGAAAAATGGCCCCAACAAATTAAAATTAAGTCGCCAAGCAAATGCCAGATACTGAAATCTGAAATCGAAATGCTTTCGAATCTGAGGACTAGCATTTATTGTTTGTTTATTTGTTGACATTAACACAGACGTGTCATGACTTTTCGGAGGGTCGCACAACTTAAAAGGACGAATTGTCTCCTTGTTATGGATCCGCTTCGACTCTGTCCACTCACACTTATCCGGTAGTGACAAGTAATATTTTAAAAAACCGGATTTTTAAATTAGTTAAATGGTACCAGACAGCAAAGGTATTCGTGCGTCTTATTGGCGTTTGGCTAGCAAATTCATCAACATTTGAACTCGTTAATTAGGGATGATTTACACATCTGCTGATTGAGCCTGACATACTTCAAGGACTTGAATTTTACATGAAATCCTGATACTGCCATGAGCATGAAGGTCCTCTTAGTGTAAATAAACAAACCTCCAAGTTTCTAATAAGAGAAACCATGATTTTAATCGTCTAAGGAGTGAAGTGAACTCAAATCAGTGTCAATCTTGAAAATAAAGACTTTTAGGTAAGTTAAGTTTTCTTTGAATGTTCAAACTGAGCTAATATTAACTGAAAACGAAAATTGGAATTAGAATCAGCCAGTGATGTTACCATAGCGGAAACTGTTATTGTATCGTTTTGTTTTGTCTCCTAGAACACCCACAGAAAAACAACCAGTCAGACAAGCGTAAGGTTTTCAGTCGCCAGCACGAGATGGCATTTTGTCTGCATCTGTAATGTCAGGTTGCATGGCGCAGATCTCACCCAAATACGATAACTACCTTCTTTGTCGATACACTTGTCATGGAGCAGGTTAGATTGATTTCTAACCCTTTCTTGGTAGTGCTGACATCGTCCAGTGATCTATTCTCCTCTTCTTCGTCGGAAAATTCAGTACCGAAACAAATTTTAAAATACCGCGAATCGTTCACCTGATAAGGAAAAAAAAATTAAATTCAGCATATCATCAGGTACTATTGTCAAATTAGATTTGTGAACTTTGACGCAAAATCAAACTACAGACCAATCAATTGTGAAAGTCACATTTATTTTACACCAAAACTTGCAGTTGTGCCCCCCTAAAACAAGTAAATTACATTCCGTGGAAATAACACCGAGATTTATGTGTATAAGCACAAAACCAAGTTCACCTTCAGACTGAACATTAGGGTGTGGAGTGTAGAAGGTTGTTGATTGGGTTGAGCTTCAAAACGTTCGGGGATGAGACATTCTTAATTTTATTAATGGCCACAAAGTTACTCCAAGAATGTCAATCCATTGATAAATTTAATTACTTAGTGAAACCAATTCCTCGGCTGAATTAAGAGCTGCGATTTCCCTATTTTTCTTGCAGCTTTGTCAAATCCTCTGAGATTGATTAACTGTAACAAGGACAGATATGTATCTTATCACGTTCCATTTTCATCATAAGCCTACCATGGGTGAGTGTAAGCGTGTAAGCACATTTGATATTTGGTGCTTTCATAGACATACCTCCTCAAGAACCTTGGGAGAGAATGCATCAGCTACTGATTTGGGAACTTCAATTGAAAGTCTGATGGAACTCCTGTCGCCCCAATTGACGTCCCGTTTCCGGAGCTAAGCGGACGAAGCAAAACGTTATTTAAAAAATCCGTAAAGTTCTGATCAGCCACTTTTACTAGTCGCTCACACTTTCATCAAACTAGGATTCCATCTTTAAAAAAGTGCCTGCCCCTAGTGCACAGTCGAACAGAGACCTTTTGGTCAAATTCAGTAACGAAATAGAGCACAGTTTCGGCAACACTGAAAGTGTTTTTAAATTATGGACAAAACGAATTTGCACCTAAAACTCTCACACCATTATCTTTCATGCCTAGAAAGACTGAATATGAAAGAGTGGCCAAACTTAACAAAGTGGACGGGAAACAAAACTAAATTCATGTTGTGATGCATTTGTGGGATTTCTTAGAATCAAAGACTTCAAATGCCACCAAGATTGACGTTGCAACCTCACCTTTGGAGCTGGCAAGTCGCCGACGGAAGTCGCTTCCAGCGCCTCAGCCTTTGTGTTTCCACCATCGACTTTCCTCGGGTCGTCTATTGACGCAAACTCTGCCTCTGAAGTTGTGTCCGGTTGTCCGTAAAAACTCTCTGAGGTCAGCATACACGAAGAAATAACGCTGTCGGTTTCCACAAAAGACGCCTGCGGAGGTAAAAACAGTGGAGCTTATTTTTCAGCAAAAAGGATGCTGTCTTCATAACAACACTATACTCATGACACATGGTTGTGTTTCTACATTAACACGGCTAACGAAATAGCGTTGAGATTTCATAGCGTGTTGTGTGAAACAGCCGGTGTAAGTGTGAAAACGTGACCTAAATGAGTACGGCCATCGTATCGCCTATTACGAGAGCTGAACTAGTGAGAAAGACGCCTTTAATGACAAGAACGACACGTGAAGTGAAGTTACATCTGGTAGCGGCTTTTGTAGAGACATGCTGTTGGCTACTGGAGTGGTGTTTGGCAAAACCGAAAAACAGCAAAGCTAAATAAATTTAAGAAATTTGAAAAACACCCCCGAATCAAATTAAATCTAAAAGGCAGAATTTTGTTCCTTTACAAACAACGGTAACCATTGTGCCTTCCTTCCTAAAACATTGAGAGATATATACATCCCCCTATCTCAAATGAAAGTTAATGATCTTAACGCGCATCATGAGAAGGAAGGCCGAGATAATTGATTCAAATCAGTCCTGATGATATATCTAACAGAACTTAAAAGATCGACGGATTTGTAGTATTTGTTTCGAAAGCTTCATGGAAAAACCCAAACGTGTAGTCATAAATAAGATTTTTAGCCTATGTCATACGTCCTTTTAACTGATTAAAATACCAAAAAAGATGAAATAAGAGAATACTCATAGCTAAATATTTCACGTTACTCTAGAGAAACTATCAAATATTATTTCACAAAAAACCGCAATCATCGTCCTGAAAACCTATCCCTGTTCACATTGACGACTTTTCAATCAGTGCTGATCACTATCAACTCATCTAACCAAAATGCATAGTTCATTATCTTTTGGTCGTTTGAATTAAAAAACCAGAACTTTACTTTTCTGATGTTCAAAAACCCAACTGCAGGTTTATATAATTGAATAAATGAACTCCACCCTTAGCCATTTGAAACTTTAAACGAAACTGCAATCGCTGTAATGGATATTTCCGATTCCAACGTCCGTCTACCGCATCCCAGATTGACCGAAGCATCGTCACATCAAAAGGCGGATGACAAAACAGCGCTTAATGGACTTTTTTGTCCGATTTCCATTAGGAAATACCACCGTGAGCCAATGCAAGTCATCCAAACGCAAGACTCAGTAAGGTTTGCATGGGTTATTTGGAACACGAGAAATATTGGATGGTTCTAATCACTTGGGTAGGAGTTCAGTTTACATGAGAGATCTTGTTTAAAGATGCAAAAAATGACCCCTCAAAGTCATTTACCGTGGAAAATACCCGAAGGTGTGCACTTGTAAACATACGCGTTTAGTGGTGCGGAAACTCGATAGATATGGTGAGCCACATGGTAGCCTCGACAGTAAGGTTTAGGTTGAAGCAGTGCTTTCTACTTCTGTTGAGCAAACATGTATTACACCTTAAAATTAAGGTTTGTGATATCTCAAATCACGCCATTACCCTAGGTGACACAAAATATCCATGTTCACACAGGTAACGCATCACTCAATGTAAATCGCTTTCAAATCATCTGACGAAGATCGCATAAGCATCTGTCTTTTGGCTGAGACAATTGGGCCTCCAAATCAGTCCATTCTCTCAAGGGGCTCCAAAAGTGTCACGTCTGAAGATAACGCCACAGTCGTAGTTGAGCACAGCACCTTCACATGATGCATGTGACGCGCATCGACGATATTGCCTCTTGTATTTTTACGTCTCCTTTCTCGAAAAGACACTGATTCGAAATCAATTCTTAACCAGCATAAGCAGATTATTGCAATGGTTTTTTTGAGAAAAATTTGAACATATTAAGCTTACTGGTGCGACCTTACGTTTTTAAGATAAAAGTAATTTTTGCTATGCATGTGAAAGTTCAAGCTAAAAAGCCTGGAAAGCATTGCATTAAGAATTCGCGTGGCCTGAATCAAGTGAGCGAAGTACTTACAGTAACCGAAAAAATTGCTACTCCAAATGAAAAATGCATCATGGGTCGCATATTTCATTTTGATTACGCATAGCCAAATATTTACGATGCAGTTTGTTAACATGCATTTACTAGGGAGGCATGAGGCGTATGGAAACCATATTTGTTCGCGATTCAAAATAAAGATTTGTAGGGAAAAAAGTTGCTTGTACATAATTGAAGTTTTCGCTTGTGCAGGTAGCTTTGAACAGTACCCAAAATTTGTTCAGGCAAAACCAGCAACATGACATCGTCCATATATTTCAATGAGTTCGATTTCAAGACAAATAATGCAGAGTTGTGATGCACGATGATAAGTGTCCACAAAGCACTTGGCAAAGCCTCTATTTATTCCACTATTGTACCCGCGATCTTGATGATACCTTTTAGGGCGCATTTGAATGGACCGAGTTCATCAAGTTCCTGGACGGAATTTCATGACTCATAATCAAATTGAACAAGAACTGCCCCCTCCCAAATGCATGCAGACACCTGTAATTGGCCTTTCATTAATGTCCTCTTTTACTTATTAAAAAAGTTTCGCTACCCGAGCAATATTTGACAGCCACAACTGGTTTTCTTTAATAATAGCTAAAGCCAAGATTCTGCATAATGATAACGAATTATTTTCACCTAAACACGACAAGTTTGACGGTCTCCCAAATGTCAACAGTTGGCGGCTGATGTAGCAAAAACAGTAAGTTTCTTGATTTTCCCTAGACCGGTACTGAATTAAATTTTTTTATTTGATAGTAAACTCGAAAGCTTAAAGTCACACAAGTTTTCGACAAGTACATTTCTGGAAAATTTTCGAACATCGCACTTGCTCATCATACGTCTGGTTTCCATATTAAATATCGCCTTTTGTGTGCAATTAAAGTGAAACTCCACGTTAATAGTTGTTCTGAAACGGTAACACCAGATTAAAATACTAATTTTATTGGCGTTTGCGGTTGGATGCAGAAGTTGAATTTTGTTAATTGTGTTTCGGGTTATCACATTTTTGTTAGCGCCTGAAGTCCCAGGTTACCTTTGACTTCTTTTTTAGAGCTGCATCTCGAATGCTGGTTGTGTGCCATAAAAATAGCACCTTTTTTCTAGCACTAAGGGATGACACATCAATCTGGGAGAGTAAAAACGATCCCATGCGGACAAGAACCATGGCTCTTTTAGGACCATGTCTTTTTGAGAATAAAAAGGACATCGTAACAGTGGTGGATGCATTGCAATGAACTCGTGTTGTTTTTCTTTGTAACCATAACACTTGGTTTTAGACTTTTTAAACCAAAACAAATTCTTGCTTTGACACTTCCTTATGCTGTCACAGGATGCCTGTTCAATTTTTTTGGCAGAGTGGCAGCATGCAGTTCCACGAATTGAGAGGGACTCGAGAGAGAATGTTAAGGAGATTTGGGAACTGAACTTCACAGCTTTTCTAAGTGTTAGCGAACTACTTGGAATTAAAAGTGCTCCAGTCACAGCTAAGGGAGACGGGCAGTTTTTCGATGGGTCACAACAGTAATTTAATCTGACACTTGCAGATTGTTCGTTTTAGCATGAGCAACGCACCTGTGCACCGCCAGTATTTTTTTCCCGTGAACTAGTTTGTTTAAGTTTACTTTGAAAGTCTTTCAATTTGCGCTTGGTCGAAATACAGCCGAATCATGAAGTCCGACTATCCTGGAAAACACCAGCTACACATTTCAACATAGTTTTTTTGCTAACTTAGTAGATCTACGGTTGGTGAGTTTTAAAGATATGTTCCCCCTGAAAAATATGTCCGAAGGGAAAGATCTACATGTAATTGGGTGTTGGAATTATGTGACGAGGAATGTCTTCAGCGTTTTTGATAAATACACACAAAATAAGTCACCGTAATGTACACTGGTCTCTTACGCACCTAAACAGAGTTAACATGTCGAATCAAAGGGTTCCTTCGTTGTTGTTTGGTCATGTCCAACCCTAACACGGTAGTTTCCAAGCATATATTTACGGTGAGATAAATTATTCATAAATGCCTGGATTATAACTGAGGGAGCCATAATATTGCTCTATCATTTTGGCACCCATATTTTAACTAGTTATTTGCTTGGTTAGCATGTTATCTTTCATAAAAGTATTGATTGGCTTACTTCAGATTTTTTGACTAAAAAAAAGTGTTTAACCAAGTGGCACCATGATGTTACTTTGAAAAGCAGAGCAATAAAGAAACGCCCTTCCTCGTCTAACTGCATTGCACGCTGCAGTAACTGGGTGCAGGTGTTGGCACCACATCGACGTATCATTTTGGTCACGTGGTGCAGCATAACCTCGGGATAGCCTGATTCCCCAGGGCCCAGTTTTGGGAGATTGACACAAAAGCACCCGAGGTAAGCAGCTTTAATGACAAGCAACACAGCTGGCTGCAAACATCTACTAAAATGTACTTTTGCGTGACACAAACTGTGGTGAAAACCAGGTATTTTAGCTGAATCTGTGTGATCATCGCCTGACTTACTGTGAGGGCATTTTCACCATCTTTGACTTTCCGCATGAACGGACTTCCAAAGTTGACATCTCTATCACATGGCAGAATTCGCGATTCCTGCATCAGCGAGTCCGCCAGAACCCGCTTTGGTGGCCTCGGGGAGAAGAGGTGACCGCCCACCACTGCATGGCCCCTTTCAAGGAACGCCGGAGACGCCATTGGCTGTGGCGATGCTTTATTTGCTCCTACAAAGAGTTTGACGTAGTCAAACATTCATGTGGTTTAAAACAGTGCACTAAAGGGCAACTTGTGCAGGGTACCACGGTAAGTAAGGGGAGAATCGTGACAGTTATTCACGTTATTAACGTGAAAAAATTCAAGTTCTTCAAAATTCTGAAAATAAACTCTACAATTTTAGTGTTCATTATGGGTTAAAAAGGAGTAAACTCCAAAGTAAATAACTGGGTAGTGACAATGCAATCACAACATCGTTACCTATTTTAAATTAGTGTAACCAGTCGAAGGATTCACAAACACATTGTGATCTGTGTTCTTGCACAAACCAGGCTAATATCTGCCGATCCATTTAAAGGGAGGTGGTTAAAGCGAATCAAGCGACTACTACGAATGTCGTAAAATATTTCGTTTTACCAAGGCCGCTATGTTTAGGCCCGAATTTAGTTCACGGTTTTTGTTTTAAAATTTATGTATAAGCCTATTCACGATATTAAACAAAAAAGGGTTTTAGACGATTTCTTGATTAAAAAGTTATTGAAACAGGGTTGTTAATGTAGTGGCAAATTAAAGGATTTGTTGGTTGATCGCCTTCTTATTTAAGGAATTTAATGTTACTGCCTTCAAATGCCCAGTTTGATCGAAAAATCACTTCATTGTTTCCTTGGCCTTACACATACCCCACCCCCCATAAATGCCTCTCGCGTCTTAATGACCCAGAGCCTAGCGGGGAAGGAGTTGCATTCGGTGCAGGTTACGCGATTACGGCATAAATTAATGTATTTACGACCACTGGGTTGCTGTATGGATGTACATGTTCACCGAATTTCACACGCTAATCAATGTATAAGTCTATAAATCGTATTCTTGGTGAGTATATGGATACATATTTATAACGCAACGAACCAAAACTCGAGCATAGTGGTTTCGCTCAATGCTCAGATTAATGATGCCTCGAACTAGTTTTATCAACACTGGCTAAAAATGGCTATTTTCGTTCTGACAATCAAAGACCTTGCAATATTCATAAACCAAATGAATTCAGCACTAAGAATTACTCGTCAAATTGACCGTGGTTTGTAGTGAAAAACAGTGGTAACACAATACCAACCAAGTGAATCGTATACTTTTGTCCGATACCATTATTTACGAACATTCGGATAACCTTGAGTAAGGCGGATATCAAGCGAGAATTTGATTAATTTACACTGTTTTTGGCCACTTGAATCGCCAAGTCCGTAATTCCTCGTGGCAGTAAAGTGTCTTTCAGAGTCAAGAGGCATTCCCATTTTAGTAGAGAAACTGAAATGTCTATACAATATGCTGAAACATTTGATAGAAACGAAATGGTAGTCGTGCAAGCTGCCTGATTTGGTAACGGCGAGCTAACGTTACTAGGTAATTCTGCTTTCTGCACCCCAAATTCACCATTAACTATCACATCCTTCCGGATTCACAGTCACCTAAGTGATTCGACACCCTGTTGCAGTCGTCTCTGTGGCAATTTGTTCCGTGCACGTTCTGAGCACGCTTGAGTTGCGTTAAACTCCGCGTCAAGACCACAACGACGTAATAGAGACTTCTCACGGTTACTCTAGCAGTGATTGTGCGAAAGTTTCTGCAAACCTTGCCAATGGACGATCTTACTCTAAGACCTCGAAATTTGCAATCACATTCAAATTGAGTGAATTCGCACATAAAACTGAACACGACAATCTTAAACTGATGTATAGACACGTCGCGGTTTATGGGCATTCGTGATTTAAGAATTTTGTGAACTTGTACCACATATTTAAACATGTTAAAACAATAATTTCGTACCTTTTTCTCCATTCTTGATAGTAAAATTGTTGCAGCACGTCTAATATTTGTCTGCCGCAACAATGCTAACATCAACTTAGTTATCATGTATTTGTATGTGGTTCTAGCCAGGGAGAACACCGGGTGACCACAGTTAAGTGTGCATGTGTTTGTGCGAACAAGGGCTAAACAGCACACCTGATTCCACTATATTTAGCGCATTTATGAAACACTAATCCATTGCAGCCCACGAGCACAATGCCCTCTATTTTCGGTCTACCGATAATCAAGTAATAAATTAGTCAACAGTTGTGCTTTTGCTTTTACACGAAGTACAAAAATCAAACATATTCTGATTTAATAGACCACGTTTTTGTTAATAATTTGAAATAGGTCAGACTAAGATAAGAGAAGTTCAATCAATGAATAACTATGTGTAAAACTAAATCAGCCTTCTTTCCACGAAAATGACTAAAAGTATTGAAATATGTACAGTGAAAGCCTAGTACTTACTGTCGATTATTTAAATCCAATGTCAGCACGGGCTTCAGGGCGGCCATGCTAGCCCAAACCATGCAGCATCAGCATTCTGAAATTGGTTTAGAAATTGTGTGACGTTAGCCACTGCCGATGCAGCTGCCTTCACACATGCACAGTGCTCCAATCACTGACACGCATCAACGCTCAACGCGCGCTGGCCAGGGCAACTCGAATTCTGATTGGTTCGTGCATGAAATCAATGGCCATGACGACGAAGTTGGCGCATATTGCGCAATTGCGCGGATATTACTCTAAGTAGTCTATTTGTGCGTGAGAAGGGTTGTGCACTTTCCTTGTGTGAACTGAAATCATCTTCACAAAATCGCATTTTCCTCTCGGACAAAGACATTGTCAGGGCAACAAAAAGTCGGGCTTGAGTTTTTCTCGACAGATGCTGATGGCTTTGCGCTATATCAAAGATAATTAATGATAGCAAAAACACTTTTTAATTGCAGAAAAGGAAGTTGCATCATGCTCGAGAACTTAGTCTCTATCAGAAATAATCATCGTTTCTGATTGCGTTCAAAGTTCACCGTTGTCTGTGAAAGCTTATTTACACTCATTTAAGGTTTTTAGGTTGTGTGAAATTTTAAACACCAGACTCGACCTATACCGGTAAAGTTAAAACCCAGTTTCTAATCGGATCCACATTGAGCACGTGAATAAAAATTAAGGTGATGTTATAAACTACGAAACCCTCAGTTAGTGCCAACGACGCCAAGTTGATGTGATGCACGTGGAGTTTACTATGATCGTTAATTTCAAATTTTACACTTGATCATTAGTCATGGAATAGTGTTGATAAGTATCTGGCATTTCATCCCATCGATGTAAAAATCGCAGTAACCTACTTTCTCCTGTCGCACTTATTCAAGTTTAGTTTAAGACCGCATTTTCAAACTGTCATCACCATATAGACTAAACACTGCGTCGTACATGGAACAAATGTCATTTTTCTCTACCAATAGGAACAACTGTAAATAAAGACTTTTGTGTCACCTCCATTTTCGCATAATTAAACACTGTTCTCAAACATCCACTGCCCATAAAAAATATCTTCTGGCTGTTGTGGTCAGTAGAACCTGCAATTTCTTGCCTGTATCACACTCAATCTCATATCTGTGGTTCACATAACAATAGGTCGGCGTTAGGCTAGTGTACTATGTCGAAATATGAGCCCAAGTACCGGGATTCCGGTAGTTAGAACCACGCGTTTTCCTTTGATATGTGCAGAGCAGTGCCCATTATTGTCTCGAGAACTGTGTCGAGGTTTCCATAGCTTGTGTTCTCCTTTCTTCATTAACAGTATGCATGGTGCGTTAGTCCTTATTGATTTCTCATCACTAATGTATTTCGCGTTAAAGCACACAAATACCATTCACGTCCTTACGCTGTCCATGTAAGAGTTAAAAAACCAGTTTTCAGGCTCATCAACATTACTGGGTTTGTTTCCCAACACCCACCAGTGGTATGCGTTATGGCTAGCCACGGATTTAAGTGACATTACAGAAGTCGGCCACCAATCAAAGGGGAAGGTATTTTGGTATAGTGTCGTTGCCTTGGCTTCACAATGGTTCCAACTGAAATTGTTCCTTCAAAATTATCTACCAGTAATCAATGCGAAAAGCAATCGTAAGCAGAGGCCCTTGATTAATCCAGACTCTCTATTATTTGTGCCGGTTAGCTCTTCTATCTTACTACCTTGTCGTGGACACGTTTGATCACTTGGAGCGCGTGAATTTAAGCAGTGATGCACCATCGTTTGGTGGTTTTAAGTGAGGCATATTTGCAAGCATTGGAATGTTTTGAGCGAAATTTCCCGATTCATACATTAGTTTTGAGGTTTAATTTAAAGCCACGCAACGCTGGTAATATGGCCTGCCTATTCGATAAAAAAGGGATTTCTACAGTCAAAATTTCCACATTCTGTGACCACGTTCATTAGTAAGATTTAGTGCTTTCTGGAAAATTTGATCAAAAACCTTGAGTACAAGCTCTGAAAACGATGTTACTGAAAAAGTATAATTCTTGTCTTACAATCGGATTGTAAAATTTTCCAAATAACACTTTTCGATTAGCTCAGTTCACATTAATTCGGTGAGCGTATGGGTTCGCTTTGAAAGTGAGGTTGAATCAAGGTCGTCAAACTTTGAGTTGAACTTTAGATCCAATGAAATCAAAATAATGTATAAAGTTGAATCCACTTTGAAGGTGATTTTCCATTCTTACCCAATCATTGGAAACTTTTATATTGGGAACATCCATAAACAGTCTGAAACAGAACACAATTTTGGCAGGGACATCACTGAAAACCTCACAGGCCTTTTCCATGTGTAACGATTTAGCGATCTCGTGTTTTGTCTTATAAGATTTCAGTGGAACTTGCAGTGCCCCTCAGAGTTTCTTCTGATGTCTCTGTTTAGACTTCATCAGCCCGCAGTAAATTATGGATTCTTTTGTTTGGAAGCGGGATTGTGTTGGCAAGGGTGGATATCATTGTGTTGCGGAACACTTTCCTGAGGAATTCTTTGAAAAAAATGTAATTTTTTCCTACCAGAAAGTGTTGAAATTTCAACAAGAGCCCTCAGTAAGATGTGCGTTATAAAAAGAATAGACGTAATTTTAGTCATTAAAACAATAACAGTCTTTAGTATTAACTTCTGCGTACCAAGTTCTGCGAAATTTACAAGAGCGTTCAC